CAGGCCTACTTAATCTTAAAATATTCTGCTTAAGTCTCTGCTTACACTTCCCCTTCTACTATCTTTAAAACAAACTCTTTCTTTCATATTTTCTTGTGGCTCAGGCTATATACCCCAGAGACTTTTCTGTCCTTTGGTCTGCGTCTTGGCAGTAGGAGAGCGGCTACACCAAGCACCTTCTTTTCTGACTTCTGATGCATTTGATGAGAGGGAGGTTCTCAGCAGCATCTGAGTTTTACAGGATTGTTTAGCTCTTCCCTTGTTCTATCCATCTCCATGTGCTGCTTTCTTGAGCTGAGATGTTCTACAAACAGCCTCCCTTAAAATTAGTTCTCATGAAGATTTTCAAAAGGTCTTCTGGAGGTCATATTTTATCCATTGAAATTATTAAGGGCTACCCGATACAAGGAAAAAAAAATAAATCATTATTTCATTAGTTGTAGAAAGACCAGAAATAATTTGACCTGTTCCTCACGCAAAAGAAATGCTATGTACAGATGACCCTCAGGAACTGGGTGCTTGATGCTTATTCTGTGCTTGTGCTCACTGAAAGAGAGCTACAGGGAACAGATGCTCATGGAGTTAATGCTGGTGGCAAAGGGATAAGATGAGCTTAGGGCAGGGAAAGTGTAAGCAGAGACTTAAGCAGAATATTTTAAGATTAAGTAGGCCTGGTGGACTGCATGTCAGAATAATACACAGAGATGTGATGCAGGATTTCTCTTAACAGTTGTGGACAGGCAAGTTACAAGCAGACTGGGGAAAAGCAAGGACAGTGCCTGTTTTTAAGAATAGCATCTGTGGGGAGTAGAGCAAAGTTAGGAAATTTTAAAGTCTTTGCACCAGCTCAAAACTTTTAGGATGAATTCCCAAAACAGCCTGAAAGCACTTACCACAGAACTGACTGATCTAAAAATAAAAATAAAGGAAAAAAAAAAGAAAAAGAAACTACATCACACCAAGCTCATTTTGTTCTAAAAAACAGTGGTCAGAGAAAAGCCATAGATGTGCTTTACCTTGATTGTCAAGGCTCTGGCAGTGTGGTACAACATTCTGGTTAAGAAAGCTAGTAAAACACTGAAAGGCCAGGGGATGGGTCCGAGCTGATGCCCAGCTGGATGAGAAGCATCTCTGGAAGGCAGCAGTGGCAGCAGATATTACATCACAAGCTTTCCATCATTCTCTGCTCTGGAGCAGGTCTTTTAATGGGTTTTTTAATAGCCACTGCTGGGCAAAGGCCTGTGCTTATTACATCTGCAAATGATAAGAAGCTTCAGGATCTGTAAAGGGCAGAGTTTGAATGCCAGATGTTATCAAGAAATAGAAAAAATGGCCTGGGAAAGAAAAGAAAAAAACAAATTCAACTAGGACAAGATCAAGATCATGGTCTTGAGCTGGAATGCAAAAATGCACAACACAAGGCAATAAAATATGATGCTTAACAAAAAGATCTGCAAAAACACAAGGGGGTATTGTCACATGCTAAACAGGAGTCTGCACTATAAGGATACCAACTAAAAAAAAATCTTTTAGAGTTCTTTACCTTTATAGGAGTATATTCAAAAACACCAGATACTGGAGTATCCATCTAATCTGAGACACTGCATTCAGAGCAGGCATAGGCCTATTAGTCCAGGGAAGTCTGAAAAACAAAAGAAGAGACTGAGAAGTGAAACAGTTTGGTCCTCAAAAGCACAAAAGCTTGGTCAGAGAGCAGGAACATCAGCTCTTTATGGTAAATAGGGTAAAAACCAGGGTTCGAAATTAGGAGAAACATTTTTATGGGCATGATATGAAGGCATAGGAGCTCACACTGCTCAAGGAGGTGTTTTTTTTGTGACCTCCCTGTCTTCTTGGCATAAATAGAAGCAAAAGTGCTGCTGCCATTGCTGCAGGAAGACGAACTGCACATCAGTGCCAGAGAGTGGGACACAGCATGGTGGGTGTTTGTGTCTTGAAATGGGAGTGTGGTCAGGGCCCTGAGAGCACCAGCAGGCTCTGCCTTCTCTGCCCCATCCTGCTGCTCTCCCCCATGGGGCAGGAGGGACCCTGGTGCAGCACAGCCTGGCAGAGCTGGGTTTACTCTGTGGATAGTTAAAAGGCACCTGCAAGTCTTGGGCTCACATTGAGTCAGGTGGAGGATGTTCCAGGGAAGGCCATGCTTTAAAGTAACCCTGCCACAATTCACTCAGCTCTGTTTTCCCTGTGGATGCCATCTCATGTTGCTGGACTTCTCTGTTTCTAGGAAAGAAAGGACATTTTTAGCACAACGGTGTTTTCTTGGAAAAATGAACCAGGATTCTTCCTTTAATGCAGAAAGCATTTGTGCTAAATGGACAATAATTTCCCCAATTTTATGGTCCATTATCCCTTATAGCAGAGGAAAGCAAAGAACTATCTTAAGCAAATAGATAACAAAATAATTTATTTTTTAATGCAGACTGAATGTTCTCCAAGTTCTGTGCAGTCATTTTTTTTTCATATAGCAGGAATTGCAGCCAAACCAAGTTATGTGGCTCATCTCTGTTTTATGATCATTTCATTTGTTCATAATTAATGTCCTACATCCTGCAAAGCCAAGCAATAGCGTCTGAGAGCTTCTTTTCTCTCTCAGTAGTCAGTAAACAGGCATCTGGCTGAGACATGCTTGGCACTGTTTAACCAATAGACAGTTGTGTTTTATGGGAGTGTGGCACACTGGGCCAAATTCCAGTCCCACTGGAAGTCCTTGGGCCTGCTCCAAGGAATTCAGGGTAAGGACAACAGAGACGTCTGGGCCCATTCTTTTTATTCTGGTAGATGGATCCATCCATGCCCTATCGATGGCTTTTCACTGGTATGGGGACATTGTTCTAAAGCTGTCAGGTGAGGTGTGAGGCAGTGACTCACCATCAGCCTACTAAGTCATCTATTAACTAAAAATGGTGGGACTGTTTCCAAAACTGCATCTAAACAGTGCCCAAAGGCATTTTGGCTGCCTATGTGCTTGATATTTGTCATTATTGGTGATGCAAAAACACTCGCTCGTGGTGAGAGACTTCTCCAGGGTCAAGCTGTTCAAGTATAAGCGATTTATTATAAGAGTAAAAGGAGGGGAGACCCGTGTCCGCCACCAGCCTTGGCGTCCACGTGGTCCGGGGGAGGGGAGAGAGAACAGGTAGAGCAGGGAAGGTGAGGTTGGATGGGGGAGGGAGGGAGTAAGAGAGCAACAGAGGGAAAGAGCAGGGAAGGTGAGAGGGGTAGGAACAGGGAGAAGGGGGCTGTGAGTTAAGAGGGGGGAGAGGGGAGAGGGGTAAAGGGAGGAGGGAAGAGAGAAGAGTAAAGAGGCAAGAGGTAAGAGTAAAGAGCGAAGTTCTTGTTACAATCCAATATATCTTTTTCTATCGTGAATATTCTAATTACCAGAAACCAATCACCATGAGACACACCCACTAAAGAATTTACATACAACCTATGGGCTTCCCTATATTAACATACAGTGTTGCATTTTATACTCTACAGAGCTTTACAAGTTCTTTCCTTGCTTCTTTACTTTTGGACTCTTCTTATCAGCAGAAGGACATTGTTTTATCAACAGGGATTCTCCTCTAGCTGGCTAGGCTATTGTTCTTTGGTTAACCAGTACTCAATATCCTATAACTCAAAGCAGGCTTTCATTTCTACTTTGATTCTAGCCTTCATATTTTCACAATCTAGTGCCAAACAGTCACATTCATAAGGTTTCCCTGTTTCACCTTCCCCAACAGTCATAACACATGAAATCCTTGTACCTTTTTATTTGGGATTCCTTAATAGGCAGAGCTTGATTGGAAAAGAATGAAGAGGCCAACTGTGCTGCACTTTCCACTGGAACAATTTAGGAAGAAATGTCATGACTGTGTATCTATTTTAGTAGTTTAAAATGTAAGTAATACAGTCCATCTTTGGCATAGATTTTATGTTACGCAATGCACTTTGCAATGTTTCACACTTAATTTTATCTCAATGTTCAAGGTAAACATTCCCTTAGAATCCACACTTAGTGAACAACCTTTTCAAAATCCTTTCCCTGTACTATTTTACCAGGCTGTCATGAGCAAAGGCCATTGTTTCCCTGTTTGAGACAGGAATTACCTCTTGATATGAATGCATACCCTGATAGGATTTGCTTTCCAGATAAAGAGTGAGAATTAATAAAGTGAGAGGGTCCTTTTCCCAGAGTTAAGACGCAGGTCCCCAAAGCGTTCCTGACGGATTCTGGGGAGGAGAGCACTGGGTCCATTCAGGGCCAGCCTGGTGAACAGGCAAGAGACCCCAGAAGGAAATGATGCTGGAGCAGAGAGGGTGAGAGGAGCTGGAGCCACCTCCCCTCCTTCTCTTTTCCTCTCCCTCTCCTTGCTGTTGCTTCCCACGCTTCTCCAAGTGACAGAAATTTTTCATTAAAGGAATGCTGGATTCCAACATTTGGCTTCCTATCCATTAATGTAACTATTTTATTATTTGAAATTCAAATGCGAATCATCCATTTCTCCAGAAGAAGTCTAAGAGAGAGAAGGAGATTTTTTCAATACCCGAAGTTCCCCAAGCTTTCTCAGGTTCAAGACTTTCTAGTGTGAACATGGTGATAGTTTCTTGCCAGCTAAATATTCTTTATGTTGCAGGAACATTTTTCTGTGAGGGCAGATGGTGTTCGATTGGTAGTCAGAATAATACATGAACAGCAGAGAAGATGTGGGTTGATTAAATAATTAGCATACTGTGACATTCTATTGCTTCACTGTAATTTAAAGCTAGGTCAAAATGTTGGTCTATATTGCACCTCCCTCCCTCCTTTCTTTCTTCTGGTTGTTTTTATGCTTACTCCAAAGCGAAATTTAACAGAAATCAAATTGTTTTGTGGTAGCACAGTGTTTGAATTTGTTACTCAGCCCTGTATGTTACAGTGTAAAAGTAATATAAAGGAAATTAAATTTTGCTAAATGAATTTCAGTAGCCCAGCAATGTATCATACCCAGTGTGGGATCCAGTCAAGGATCATTGTGGTTTAATATGTGGCACATGTTCAGGCCAACATGTGTAATCTTGGAAGCCAGGACTAATGGGAGGGCTGAAGTCTGATTTTCAGTCACCACATCTGCCTGAACAGCTCTTTGCCTTCAGAGTTTGTTTGCATGTCTATTAGAAGTCTAATTAGTTAATCTTATCAACTCTACTGCATCCTGTCCCCCTGCTCTCCAATGGTACAATAACAATAATTACAGGCAGTTTGCCATGAGACGAGGAAGAAACATAGGAAACATGCTTCTCTAAGCAAGGATATCATTACTCACTTACTAAACACAACCCACTGAATTACTCATCCTCCTCTCTAAGTCCTGCTATCTATTCTGGGTTTTTAGAGACTTTTTGTGAATAAAAATGCAAGAAGTTGTCCTGCTAAGAAATCACAAGAAATCACTGTCCTCTAAAATGTTAGTGCTGACTAAAAAGAGAGCAAGTATCTTTGGCTGCTGTGTAACCACTAGCCAGGGTGTGTAGTTTTCTGGATGTCCCTAGTGCTGCAGGCTCTAGTACCTTAAAACATCCAGGAAGAATCCCATAAAATTGGTAAATCTCCTTTTCTTGTTTTGCCATGAAATAAATTTTAAGGTAAGGATTAAAATTTCATGTTTGAGAACCATCATGGTAAAATGGACCAGTCCATAATCTCTGCTTTGATGGGCTGGCACTGTGAAGGAAGAGCAATAGTGCTCCTGGAGTATCTGGAGAGGATGCACACTCTCACTCCATCTGAAGAAAATACTTTAATATGTCTTTGTCAAAGTGCTGCAAACCCAAACTATATAATGTCAATAGTTCCCTTCAGAGATTACACTTGGAAATCAAATTTCTTGATGTTCTTTTGCTTCTTTAGAGAACAAAAGTTCAAAAGTGATAGTAAACAATCCAGTCTGTTTATATTAAGTTCTCTGGAAGACATTTTAATACAAATGCTGCAGTTAACTCCTGTTGTTTCTATGACCAAATACAAAGTATTTGTATAACATGGAAGTAGAACGTCAACCAAAAGGTTAAAAAAGAGAAATCATATGCTTACAAATACGTGTTGGGAAGGAGGAAACTGCTGCCCCTAATGCAAAGGGATTGATGGCACCTTCCACTCTGCAACTCAGCTTGAAGTTCATTTGCCTCCTCCTGAAGTCCGTAGAACCATTTGCTGCTCAGGACTGTGGTGCAAGGACTGAGTGCTATTCCTGAAGGCACCTTCTGCCTCACAGATTTCTGGGTGAACATTCATTTGGAAAGTACATTCTTTGGTTCCTGTCCTAAATTATTAAATTCCACTGCTGTGAAAAATTATTCCAGCATACCCCTGTTTATCTTACAGAATATTACATAGCTTAATCAATGCATAAGTTTCGGGTCTTTAAGTAATTACTGCTATTGTTATTTTTGAAGTAGTAATACAGCCAGGCCAGGAGATTGGAATCATTGATAATTTATGCCCTCCTTGTGCTGGAACTTGAAGGAATGACATGATGAAGACACTGCCTTACTCAAGTATTGAGACCCACTGCTACATTTCAAGATGCAGAATAAATTGATTTAGATCACATACTTCACATTCATTTACATTTTTAATTTATAAAATGCACCTTGAAAAACATATTTGCTTAATGTAGAAGCTCAAAGTCAAATAAAGAGGACCGGACTGGACAAGAACAAACATATCGAAGCTGGCATCTGTTTAGCTCAGTCACAAGCAGAAAACTCAGTGTTCCTAAAGTTCTTATTCCCCAGATGAATTATGGGGTTAATTTTCTCTCTAGCCTAATGGAAGGAAGAAATCTAATTACATTCAGAGCCCTCAACAAGAACAGGTATAACTCTTCATCTAGTTATTAATATTTACAACCGTCACCAGAGGGATTATTTAGAAACACAGCAAATTCTCTTTTTTTCTTGACCTCTAGATGGTTTGAAAATTTGCTGTCCATAAAATATGAATAGGTCAGGTTTATACCAGGGTGCTTAGATGCAGACAGTGAAAAGGACAGGCTGTGAGCATGAAGCAGATGATTTTTGAATAAGAATACTTTTGGAAAAATACATTTATGGTGTTAAAGCTGTGATTCTGAAGGGCTGAGAAGGCAGTAGATATGCAAATCTGTTGAAATTCAGAGGGAATGATGGCAGGATTAACACACTCAAAGTTAACTGGTGATGATTGCCTCAATTTTGTAACAAAATCCCATCCAAGCAGACTGAATTACATAGCGAAACATTCTTATGTTCTAGATCTCTGTCCTCTCTTAATTTTGCTCTATCTACCATGCTCTTATAAGAAGAGAGAGCAATCATACTAGTGGGATGTGAGGGTGGTTCAGGACTGAGTGTCATCATTTGGTTTGGAGGGTCCCAAAGACAAGCCATATCTGTTATTGAATATTATTGATATGTGATATGATATGGATCATAGTCCACACAGATAAAATGGCAGCAGCAGGCCTAAAAACCATAAAAAAATGCTATTTGAGTGTACAGAAGTAAAAAAGCATGATCATGCACCGTATGACATTTAGCAAACTGTCTCTGTTATGCTCCTTTGATCTGAAGAATTTACCCAAAGAAAAGTTCAAAGGATGAGGTCGATAAAAAAGCTCACAAAGACACCAGTTACTGTGTACATTTATAATTTATATTCCTGGCTGGTTTTCTTTAGGTAATTAAATCTGTTTTATTGGAAGCTTGATGCTGAGATTATTTTCTCAGTGGCAAAAATCCCCAACCAAAAAAAAAATCTACCCAACCCCACCCATTTTCCTTAAGAAAAACAACATTATTTTGAGGTTCCTGTGAGACTGGGACCCATGTGATGCTTTTATACTTCTCCCATATTTCACACATATTATAGTGAAAAGGAGTTTTTTCTCCTTTATTGTATGTGCATCTATTTTTTCAACATTAGTCTGGATTTTTACTGTTAACTGCTGCAAAAGTTCCTTGCATGATAACCTCTTTCTTATTTCCAGTTTGTCTGGATTATAAGGGAGAAGTTGCCATCTGCCATTACAAAATATGCTCAGCCGTCAGTATCAATAAAACCCGCTAAAAAAGAGGGGAATTTTTAAGGTTGCTTTGTGGATTTTAGCATCCATCTTCTGATTTACTGAGAAGGTAAATGATGTGCATGAAACATATGGATGATGAACTGTTCTGAAAGATGCTGTGACTAGAAGTGCTGAAACACGAGATGCTGACTCAAAGGTGAATTTATATATACCATTATATTTCTTTGGGTTTGTTCCAAATAACATTGGAATGGATTCTAAAAGCTGCTCTTTCTATCTGGAGGAAAGAACAACAACATTCAAAACCATCTTCAACTTGTTGCCTTTCTTTGGAATTTGCAAGTACTACTTTTTTTGCAGTTAGAAATCTGAAACTTCATTGTAGTTTAGTTTGTGCTGTACAAAACCAATTTTGAAACTATTTCTATGCAGGAAAGAAGTATCCAGCTTCCTCTCTGAACTGGCCCATGGACTGCACAAGAAGAGAAGCAGGTCCTGGTGATCCAACCCTGCCAGACACCCCACTGGAGAGCTATGGAAAGCCTCCAAAGGTAAACTCAATGCTCCCTGGTTGTTTGTCAGCTGCATGAAGGCCTAGTCTCTCTGAATAATTTAGAGATGTTCTAAGTTACTCTCATTACAAATGGCCTTGAAAAGGAAAGCAAGTAGCGATCTGGTGGGGCCCAAAAATATCCCACCCGTGTCCTTTACATGTCTCCATTCATTCCCTTTCTGCTAGCAAGGTAACAGAAGGCTCCCTTTGCATATTCATGCTCTACTTGTGCTCAATAGCAAGAAGAGGTCTATTTTAGTACATCAGAGTAGACACACTGATGTCCAGAAAAGAATAGACTCTTTTGAGGCCATACTACATTCATTCTATTAACCCCGTTCCCTTCTGGAAAATTTGTTT